TGCCCATCACTGCTGCTTCTGGAAAAACAAATGATTCCTTGCCTGTGTGTTCCAGCTTGCTTTGTGGATGAGATCCTTCCTTTGGACCTAGAAGGCAGTGAGCTGCTCTCAGATACATTTGCAGTGCTCAGCTGCAAAGAAATCAAGCTCTCAAGTATGAGGTCCAAACCTGACGAGGACATCCAGGCTGATGAAGATGAGATGGCCATGGCCAATGCTGTCATGCAGGTGGCCCAGAAAAAGCTCATTTCACAGGTGAGGGGTACCTGCTGTGCTCTGGGGAGAGGGCTGGGCAGCTCTGTGTCTTGTAAAAGCACAATATGAAGGCAGAATTGGTGAGGGATGCTCGTTGTGGGGGTGGAGGGAGCAGAAGTGCATTTCCCAGGAGCCAGGGGAGCTGTGCTGAGCTGGATTTGTTCCCCAGCCCTCTCCTTGGCGAGGCATCTGAGCGGAACAATGATTTTCCTGCACCTCTGGGCAATTTGCCTTCACTGTGAGATCTGAGTGACTTAGTGATGCATCTGAAAAGGCTCCACTTAGGTTAAAAGCCTCTGTGCATGTGTGTGGTGTAAGAGCAGCCTTAATTACAGTGATTCCCTGGCTGAGGAGGGAGAGCTCCTCTGTGGAGCCACAGAGTGGCTTCTCCTTCACTGCCTCGCATAACCGTTCATGCCTCGTTCACAAAAAGGTTCAAAAGAAGAATTTCATCGAAAACATCATCCCAATAATCACATCACTCAAGTCCTTGATGGAGCAGAAGAGGATCCCAGCTCTCAAGGACCTGATGAACTGCCTGAGGGTAAGGGGAAGCGTTTTCCTGCTGGTCGTGATGTTTTGATCCTCTCTGGAGTTAATGTGCAACCACTGCCACAACCCAGAGCCTTGTGAGGAGGGAGGGATTCAGAAGATAGGATGTTGTGACACTGCCACTGCGTTAAATAACGTGGGAGGTGGAGGGATTGGAGATGAGGCTCTCAGTGTGGAACGTGGGCAGGAGGAGAGCTCAAACGCTGCGAAGCTTTTCCATGTTCCGAGGAACAAATTGGAGATAAAACTCTTCAGTCTGTTAAAAACACCTCTGCTCTACCAACTGGTGTTTCCTTTTGCTCCCGAGCAGCTGTGATCTGAATGGGGATGTGAATCAGTAGCTGGGGGAGATTTCTGAAGGGCTCCAAACATTCCTTGTTGCTGCAGGAAATGATGCAAGATTACCGAAACGAAATCAAAGACTTCTTTGCTGTGGACAAGCAGCTGGCAGCCGAGCTGGAGTATGACATGAAGAAATATGAAGAGCAGCTGGCCAGGGAGAAGGAGTCAGAGCAGGAGCAGCTCCCAGCAGCCCACAGGGAGGTGGTTATTGCCATTAACTCTCTCCATGTCTCCTCTGCTCTAATTCCTGTGCTCCCAATGTCCATGCCCTACCTGGGGACCCTGTCCATGGAGCACGATGGTTATCAGGGCTTTTCCTCCCTCTTTTCCTCCCTCTGACAGAAGTTTTGGTTTCAGAGTCATTGAATAGCATTAGAACCTCAGCAAACAAAGCCAAGAGGAGCAGCAAATGATGAATGGAGAGAGAATTCAATTTAAAGGAAAAAGCAAGTCTAATTTGGCACTGGCTGGGCTTAAATGTTATATTCTCTCTGCACCCAGAATGATAAACTGGTAACAAAGAAAAGAGTTCGCTTTGACTGACTTTAGGTGTCTACAAAGTGAAAGTTCAAACCTGTCCCAGTCATGAGATACTCTTTTAAATTCAGTGTAAAGAAATAAATATGTGCCTGAGTCAGTTGTCCTGAGCTATTTTAGATCCCTACCTTAAGATGAGGTGACTTCTTGCCTGGAAGTTCATTTCTCTGCAGACCTTAGAAGAGCACTTTATATATATATAGACCTCTAAACTGGGACATGTGTGTCCCTGCTCACTTCTTGGTAAAATTTTGCCCAATAAATTGTTCCTCCCCAGCACCCTTTGCATCCATCCCACAAAGGGCAGTTCTGAAACACTCAGGCCCAAGCACCTTGCAGGGTTTTCTGCTCTTGTCTCCCCTGTCAGACATGACCTGTTGGCCTGTTTTCCACAGCAGACTCCATCTCTGGAGAGAGCTGCAGCTCCTGGTGGCCAGAATGATTGCAGTGCTCAGCCCTCAGGGGGTGGGCGGCCATCGACACCTGGCTCCATCCCTCCCCCTGGCCCCTCTGAGTTTGCCACCCCTCGTGCTGAGGCTCTGAAACAGCCGCTGGTGGGTCGCAGGTATGGGCTCCTCTTTGTTACCTGGTATTTTACATTTATTACATATTTCTATTTATTTTTATTTATTTATATTTTATAGATTTGTATTATTTTAATATTATAGCTTATTTTATGTTCTATATGTACTTATATTATTTTTATTATTTTATTATGTATCTTTATCATATATATTGGTTATTTTTATATTAGAGTTCATATATTTTGTATTTTATTTGTAACTTTTATTAGTTTTATTAAGTACTTATATTTGTTATTTTTATATTTGTGTTTATATATTTCTACTTTGTTTTTTTATTTTATTATGTATTTATATTTTATATTAGTTTTACAGTAGAGTTTATATATTTTTATTTTTAATTTATTCATATTATTTATATTATTTCTTTTTTATCTATTTATGTCATATTTTTATGTGATTTTTACAGTAAAGTTTATATATTTTTGTATTTTCTTTATTTATATTATTGTATATATCTATTATAGTGTATATTTATTATGTTATAATTTTATATTATTTTTACATTATAGTTTATATCTTATTTTATATTTTTAATTTATTTATATTGTTTATTTTTATTATTTATATTTTTATATTACTTCATATTAGAGTTTATATATTTCTTGTTTTTATATTTTAATTTATTTCTATTATTTATTTTATTTATATATTTCCATTTATTTATGTCGCTTTGCTGATCCTTTCTTTAGAGAGTGGTCTGAAACTCATGGGTGTTGCAGCAAAATCACATTATTAGATGTTGAGGGAGGGGACAGATTTTCCCTCAGGGTCTCATTGGGGCTTTCAGAGGGAGATGCCAGCTGCTGTCCCTTTGTGCC